ACAAGACGAAACAAAAAACAAAAAGTAGCTATTCTTGGGCATTTATTAGCTGTAACTTTGGCTAGGAGTATAGCTCAGTGGTAAAGTATGTCCTTAGCATTTGTAAAGCCCTGGGTTCAATTCCCAGCACTCCTCCCCACCTCTTCAAGGGTAAAAAAAAAAGTTGTGCTAGTACTGGGGCTTGAGCTTCAGCCTGATTGCCCTTGCTTGGCTTTTCCACTCAAGATTCTACCACTTAGCTGGGCGCCGGTGGCTCACGCCTGTAATCCTAGCTACTCAGGAGACTGAGATCTGAGGATCACAGTTCAAAGCCAGCCCAGGCAGGAAAGTCCATGAGACTCTTATCTCCAATAAACCACTTGAAAACCCAACGTGGTACTGTGGCTTAAGCAGTAGAGCACTTGCCTTGAGCTGAAGAGTGGAGGGATAGCGCCCAGGCCCAGAGTTCAAGCCCCACGACTGACCCAAAAATAAATAAATAAAAAAAAATCCTACCACTTGAACCACATTTCCATTTCTAGATTTTTTTTTTGCCAGTTATGGTGCCTGAACTCTGGGCCTGGGCACTGTCCCTCAGCTCTTCAGCTCAAGGCTAGTGCTCTATCACTTGAGCCACGGCACCACTTCCAGCTTTTTCTGCTTATGTGGTGCTGAGGAATCGAACCCAGGGCCTCATGCATGCAAGGGAAGCATTCTACCACTGAGCCACCTTCCCAGCTCCTCTAGATGGTTTGTGAGTTGGAGATGACAGTCTCAGGGACTTTCTGCTTGGATTGATCCTCAGACTTCAGCTTCCTGAGTAGTAGGATTATAGTAAACCACTGGAATCTAGAATCTAGGCTTTTTTTTTTTTTCTTGCCAGTCCTAGGGCTTGAACTCAGGGCCTGGGCACTGTCCCTGGCGTCTTTTGCTCAAGGCTTGCACTCTACCACTTGAGCCACAGCACCACTTCCGGCTTTTTCTGTTTATGTGGTACTGAGGAATTGAACCCAGGGTTTCATGCATTCTAGACAAGCACTTTACTACTAAGCCACATTCCCAGCCCTTATTTATTTCTAAATCGGTGATTTCTCTTTTGGTCCTCTTGAATTCACTAAAACCAATATTAGTCTCCATCCTGTATAGTTTTTATTTTAATTGAGTGTTTAACTAGGATAATATTGACTTATTGGTATTCCACTACTCAAGTAGTTCCTGTTTTAATTAAAGTTCATTCCTTTTTTTTTTTTCTTAAAGGAATAGCTGCTGAAATGTAATCATTCCTTTCACTATTTGTTGATATGATCATGATTTTCTCCTTTAAATTTTAATATAATGAATTATGTTGATAGATTCTGCTGTTAAACCAACTCTGTGCTCCTGGAAGAAACCCTATTTGATTAGCATCATTTTTTTTTTTTTTTAATTCAGCAGTGTATTCTGATGTTCTAAAGATTTTTAGATCTCTATTTAAAAATTAATTTCTGGATTTAAAATATTGTCCTTAAGTAGTTATACGAAAGAGTTTCAATTCAACAAACTGATTTATAAGTACAATACACCTGTTTACGTCATCTCTTCCACCATTCCCTTCTCTCCCAAACCTATCCATACCCTCAAGTTATGTGATTCCATTCTCACATATGTAATGACCATGTTTGCCTTCCCTTCCTCTCTCCACTCATCTTCTCCCCCTCCCCTTACCCCACCACACAAGTTCCAGCTTCCTAGTGTTATTTTGTTAGATGGTAAGTTGGTTGTTCAGAGGAATTACACCACTAGAATCTATCCCTGAGAGTTTCTAGATAAAAAAAAAAAAATGTATATATCTTTACAAGGCTTTAATATTAATGAAGCCAGCATAGTTCTTTTTCTTTTTTTGGCATGGAGGATGGAACTCAAAGCCTCATTATTTAGGTCTGAACTTCACCGCTGAGCTATCCTTCCTCAGCTCTCAGTATGATTTTATTATTTCATTTATTTGACATGAAAAGTTGTAAATTGCAAGCCTGGATTAGAGCCAAGAAGAAATTTGGGAAATCAGATTCTAGCCCATAGTGGGATAAGATTGAACAGAGGTCATATCTGCCATAGATTACTACTGCCTGGTAAAACACCTGTGAACTCAGCTGACTAGATGGGTGAACTTGACTGAACACAATCAGAGAGAAAGAAGCCAGTATGTGGAACCTGAGAGGTTAACAATTCATGGAAGGTCACACAGCTCTCAAACCCAAGCCTTGATATTCTCAGTCCAGTGACCTATCAACTCACAAAGGGATTAACAACATCAGAATGGATCTGTTTTCTAGAGTACACCAGTAAAACAGCTAAGGACATAATCTAGGGAAATGGTGACGGCAAGGGGTGCTGGATGGTAGTTCACAAAGCACATTTTCATGTAGGCATTATGGTGTATGCTTGCAACTCCTGCATTTGGGAGGCTGAGATAGGAAGTTTGAGTCAAAAATAGCTTTTCTAGAAGTGGAGTTGTGATTCAAGTGTTAAGAGCACCAGTCTTGAGTGAAAAAGCCAAGGGAGGGCACAAGGCTCTGAGTTCAAGCCCCCAAACTAGCATACACAAAAGGTATAGGTGCCTGGCTCCTGTACTACTAGCTATTCAGGAGGCTGAGATCTGAGGATCATAGTTCAAAGCCAGATCAGTCAGCAAAGTCCATGAGACTCTTATCTGTAAGCTGCAGCTCAAGTGCATTAGTCTTGAGCTAAAAAATCAGGGGCAGTACCCAGGCCCTGAGTTTAAGCCTGAGGACTGGTGCGCATGCACGCGCACACACACACACAAAATCCAGCTTTTCTGTGCTGAGATCTGAAGATCATGGTTCAAAGCCAGCCCAGGGAGGAAAGTCCATGAAGTTTTTTTTTTGTTTTTTTTTTTTTTCTCTCCCTCATGGTGCTTGAACTCTGGGCCTGGGCAATGTCTCTGAGCTCTTGAGCTTAAGGTAAGTGCTCTACCTCTTGAGCCACAGTGCCACTTCCGGTCTTCTGGTGGTTAATTTGAGATAAGATCTCAGCCACCACAATATTTAGGATTACAGGCTTAATTAAGCCACTGGTGCTAGGTAGTCCAAGAAATTCTTATCTCCAATTAAGTACAGAAAAAGCCAAAGTGGAGCTGTGATTCAAGTGGTAGAGCACTAGCCTTGAGCAAAAAAACTCAGGGACATCACCCAGGCCCAGAGTTCAAGCCCTAGGATTGGGACAAAAACAAACAAAACCTACTCACAGGTCTTATGTTGTCCAGGCTGGTTTCAAATTTGTAGCCCTTCAATAGGATTCTTTGGGGTCAATTATACTTGAACAGATGGATTGAGTTACAAGTTTTGTCTTCTTATGGTGGCTAGGAGGAGATGACTAAATTAAGGGTTTCTTGCAGAGCTAGAGATATACCTAGTATGTTTACATCCCTAGGTTTGATCCCCAGTATCATATAAACAAGAAAGCAAGAATTAAGGTTTTGAAGAAGGTGGAGAGAAGTCTCTTAGTATAGCACTTGGTTATTCCTAATGGGCAAGAAAAATGTGGTTCTGAGGGTAGGTGTGGGGATGGGCCCTTCCTGATTTGCTGGGATTTGGGGGACAAGGTTAAGGGTGTCACCTCTTACTGCCACTTTTAAGTCTAGTTGACAGGATGAAGATTGAGGTCCCTCTGGATCTTAGTACCCCCATCTCCACTACAAGGGAGACAAGGCTAAGCCACATGCCCAGTGATTGGCTTTCCCTCCTGGCACTGGCTCAGGCGACAGCAGGCAGTGGGGAGAGCCTGGCTCCAGCCCCCCTCCCTGGGAGCTGGCAGCACTGAGTAACAGGGTAGGCAGGGGATGCTGGGCTCTCCAACCCTGTCTTCCTATCCCAAGAAGCCCTTTCAAAGTCCTCCCCCCCCCTTCCTGGCAACGTAAGCTTCAATTCATTCAACCTGGCATGAGGCCCAGGATGTACGGATGCTGGGAAGGCCCCAACCCTTACCTTAGCTGCCCCCAGTTTCCTGGGACCCCTTCATCCAGTAGTAGCACCCACCCCCTTCCCCTTGGGACCTAGGTACCTAGCCCCTTTGCCTGTGGAGCAGATGGCCACCCAGAGAGGCTCAGGCTTGCTAAATCAGACATTTAAATCTCATAATCCTTGGAGAGAGGCTGCCCAGGGGACAGCAGCCCAACCCTAGAACAAGGGCAGGCAAGAACTGCGTGCCAGCCCTGGCAGGAGGGAGGAGGGACAGTTGGTTCCCTAGTTATGAATGGAGTCACCCCTCTCCCTTGTTGTCATGCAGGCCACACACTGACCCAGTCCCCAAAGCTTATTATTCTTCTGGAACCCAGGGAGCTGCCCCCCTCCCCCATAACACCGCTTATAGATTGAGGGGGCTGTCTCCCAACTTCACCTCCTCACTCATCCCTGCACCTGGGAACGCGGCAAGCCTGGGACAGCATCCATCCCTCAAATGCACAGGTGGTAACCAAGTTTTATTGTAAAAGAAAACCAATATATAAAAAGGGAATATAAAAAGGGAGAAGGGGGTGGGAGTGACCAATGCTGATGTGCCTTGCAGGATGCAAAAGAAATCAACCCTGAGCATGTGGGTGGGTGGGTGGGTGAAGTAAAATGGGTCTTGGTGGATCCAGCAGACCCTACATGAGCCCAAGATGGAATTCTCCAGCATGTGAAATGGGGTGACATTTGCTGTTGCCAAAGTTCAACAGAAGACTGAGCAGCATTTGGCTGGGCCAATGGAATCTTGGCAACGTCTTCCTCTCAAGTAGTTGCCCAGTCTTGGAAATTATCAGCCTATCCCTGAACTAGCACCTCCGAGGGGGCCAAGCCCCAGTTACCAAATGGTAACTGGTTCAAGGCCAATCACACATTTTATTAATTCTTACAACAAAACCCCGTGAGGTAGGCACCATGATCAGTTTTTCATAGACGTCCCAAACTTGAGTTAGCTCCTTGGTTAGTTTTGTTGGAGAACTAGGCTACCAGTACCCTAACCCTTACATGAAGACATGTTCTTCTCTTCCAAATATTCCTCACAGCTAAAACCTTAAAAGCTAAGCTGGTGTGTCCTAGCTCCCACTGCCACCCCCAAAACACTAGTGCAGTGGGGGCCCCAAGTCATGGCGAATGGAAGAGTTCTTGGTTCTGGGTATTTCCGAAGCACACCAATGCCAAGCAGGGAGGCAAGCACCTGAGTCCCAGGGAAGGAGGACAGGGGTAGGGGACTGTATCTGGGGGAGAGGAGGCAGAGGAGGTCAATCTGAGTCAGGCCCCTCTCTCTTGCATATCAGTTTTTTATGACGGGAGGTAGGCTGTCCCTTCTTGGATTTCGGGTAGCTGTAGGGGAGACACAAAGAAGAAGACATGACATGATAGGAGTGAGATTGTCTGAGTCCTTCTTGATTAAGGTCTGGAAGGTTCTAAAGCTGGAACAAAGAGAATGTAAGCTAAGGTGGTAACCACCACCTGCAGATGGTATTCAAGGAACATCTGAAGTATCTGTGTGCACCACTTGATCTTTGTAATTTATTTATATTGTTGTAGTTGCTGTGCTGGTACTGGGGCTTGAACTCAGGCTCTTGAGCTCACTTGGCTTTTTCACTCAAGGCCGGTGCTCTACCACCTGAACCAGACTTCCACTCTTGGGTTTGTGCTGGTTAACTGGAACTCAGAGTCTCACAGACTTTTGTGCCTGGGTGGGTTCGAACTGCAACCCTCAGATCTCAACTTCCTGAGAAACTAGGATTACAAATGTGAGCCACCAGAGAGTCCCGATTCTTTCTTTCTTTCTTTTCGGTCATGGGGCCTGAACTCGGCCTGGGTGCTGTCCCTCAGCTCTTCAGCTCAAGGCTACTGTGCTACCACTTGAGCCATAGCATCACTTCCGGCTTTTTTTTCTTCTGCTTATGTGGTGCTGAGGAATCGAACCCAGGGCCTCATGCATGCAAGGCAAGCGCACTACCACTGAGCCACCTTCCCAGCCCCTTACTTTTTCTTTGTCAGTTGTGGGGCTTGAACTTGGGGCCTGGGCGCTATCCCTAGCTCAAGGCTAGCACTCTCCCACTTTGAACCACTTTTTTTTTTTTTTCCTTTGGTTGATCATGGGGCTTAAACTCTGGGCCTGGGCACTATCCCTTAGCTCTTTAGCTCAAGGCGAGTACTCTACCACTTAAGCCACAGCACCACTTCTGGTTTTCTGGTGGTTAATTGGAGATAAGAGTCTCATGAATTTTCCTGCCTGGGCTGGTTGGCTTTGAATTGCAATCCCCAGCCTCCTGAGTAGGTAGGATTACAAGTGTGAGCTACCAGAAGCCTGATTCTTTCTTACTCCTTTTTATAAAATGAGGAAACTTGAGCTTCAGGAGTAATAAGGTTACACAAGACCTGTCGATACCTGGCAGGACTGAGTAACCTCAAATTCCAAAGTATCTACTCATCTCCAGGTTTGGGGACCTGGAGGCATGGAAGTGGCTGTGAGATATGACCGGCAGAATACTAAGAACACTGAGTAGGGCCAGCACCCAACATCATGGAAGGAAAGATTAGAAGGGAGTACTAAGGAGTTTCCATCCCAGGAAAGCAGGGGCAAGGCTGGAAGCGGGCCCACGTCACTCACCTAGAGTGAGGCTTGCTCTCCTCTGGTTCCTTTTCAGTCTGAGCATCTTTGAATTCAAAGGCCTCATTTATCATTCGGAGCATCTCATAGCGCTCACGCCCACGGATCTACAGCAAGCGTACAGGGGACAGAAGCATTGGGCAAAGTCACAAAGCCACTTTCATGCTCTCTTTAACAATTTTCTTCTCAGAAAAAACGGTCCTTTAAGTAGATGGATGATGTTCTCAATTGATTGACTTACCGATCGTTTTTGACTTTACAATGGTGTGAAGGTGACAGGCATTCAGTAGAAAAGCATACATCAAATTTGGGTCTTTTCCAGCTAGTGATATGTGGTGACACTCTTGATGCTGGGCGGCAGCAGTGAGCTGCAGCCACACAACCATGAGGGGAACAAATGACATCCTATACGGTCATGCTGCTAAGCTAGCTGAGTTCAGTAGGTTAGATGGATCAAATGTATTTTGTTTGTTTGTTTGTTTTTTTGGGTTTAGTCATGGGGCCTGAACTCTGGGCCTGGGCGCTGTCCCTCAGCTCTTCAGCTCAAGGCTAGTGCTCTACCACTTGAGCCACAGTGCCACTTCTGGCTTTTTTTGCTTACGTGGTGCTTGAGGAATCGAACCCAGGGCCTCATGCATGTAAGGCAAGTGCTCTACCACTGAGCCACCTTCCCAGCCCCAAGGATCAAATGTATTTTGTTGTGATGCTTGGAATCAAAATCAGGGCTTGGTGCATGCTAGGCAAGCCACTCTAACACTGAATTACACCCCTTTAATAAATAACTTATTTTGGAGGCAGACGGGGAAGGGCTTGAACTCAGGGCATGGGCACTTGTCCTGAGCTTTTTTTTTTTTTTGGCTGAAGGCTGATGCTCTACCATTTGAGACATGTGCCAGGATGGAACCATGATCCTTAGATCTTAGCCTCCCAAGTAGTTAGGATCACAGGTGTGAGCCACCAGTGCCCAGTTACACTTTATTTTTTTTAAATGCTGTACTGGGGCTTGAACTCTGGACCTCAATCTCTTCTTTTAGCTCTTTCATTCAAGGCTGGCACTCTATCATTTGAGCCACATTCCCACTTCCAGCTTTTATGCTCACCTGGATTTGTCTGTCTGGGCTGACTTTGAACTGGAACCCTCAGATCTCAGCCTCCTTAGCAGTAGTTAGGATTACAGATATAAGCCACCAGCACCTGGCCCTAAATATACTTTCAACTTAACATTTTCAAATTAGGATTTTCACTGAGATGTGAGTATCTAAGTGGTGGAATACTTGTATTCTGATACAGACGGATGTTCTTAAGTTAGGTAAAACCATGAGCCATTGTTTATTGGGGCATCAAGGCCTACTGATGGCTAATGTCCAAAATGTTAGCCAAAGCAGCCAAAAAGGACATAGCATTTAGATGTTAGACTTAAACTTTCAACCTGGTTTGATGAACTTTCTAACAATTAAGGACATGAACTGAGGAAACAAATGGATATATCCTTTTTACCCCCTTTCCCATCTTACTTAGTATATGCAAAAGACCGCATGAGTCTGTCCCAAGTTTGGTACCTTAAGGGTGAAATATTCACCATCCAGTGGTTTCTTCTTTGGCTGAGAAGAGGAGGAGCTAGTGTTGGTAGGCAGTACTGGGGAAGAGACAAGGAAAAGCAAGAGGGATGAGTTTGGGGCTGAAGGGTACGGGTACCTCCTTTTCCCCCTCTTCCTCTCCATCCACCAGTTTACCTCGCTTAGTGCTCCCTGGTAGAGGCGGAGGATCAGAACAAGGCTCCTCTTTTCTGCGGAAATTTTCCTCCTCTGTGCGTCGATCTCTCCCAGGACAGGCACAGACACGTACCTCAAAGCTGTTGCGTCCCAGCAGTTTGCCACTAGCCCAGATAAGGAGAGAAAATGGAGTCGATGAGGAAGTGGGCCCTACCTGCCCTGTTCTATAACCCGAGTCTACATGCTCCCCACAGCCCCAGTTCTGTCTGGGTTTCTAAATCCCAGCTCCAGAGACAGAAGAGAAGCCACAGGTAAGAGAAGTCTAAAGACAGAAAGGAAATAGAGGAGATTCCACTTAGAGGAACCATGTGGGAGCTAAAGAGGGGTGGTGATGTGGTTAGGGGTAGGACTAGGGAGAAAAGGGCCAGGCAGAGAGAGGCTAATGAAGAGCATGACAGTGTAAAGGGTGGCACTTAGCTCCCTACCTGGAATCTTCCAGTGTGATAATGGTGAGGATGGGCCGCCGGTTCATGCCCCCCATGCAGGAGCTGTTACACATGTAGTTGTAGTGGATGGTGGTACAGTCAGAGCCAACCTGGGGGGAGATATAGGCCCCAGATGAAGCCTCTGTAGGCTTTAGTTTCTTTCCTTTTTTGGAGGGGGGGGGAAGGTTGGTCATAGGATTTGAACTCAGGGCCTGGGTGCTGTCCCTGAACCTTTTCACTCGGCTAGTGTTCTAGCACTTTGAGCCACAGTGCAACTTCCCATTTTCTGGTGGTTAATTGGAGATAAGAGTCTCAGACTTTCCTGCCCAAGTTAGCTGAGCCTGAGATATCAGTCTCCTGAGTAGATAGGATTATAGGCACAAGCCACTGGCACCTGGCAGCTTTACTTTCTTTAACTATGGAGTAGAGCTAATCCATCATGTGCCCTGCATACTCCACAGATTGTGGGATGATGAGGAAGACATAGGTGGGCCCCAGGGATGCAGCTCAGTAGTACATCACTGGCCTAGTATTCCTGGGTTCCATCCCCAGTGTGCTTGTACACATGCGCACACAAACACACATGTGGGTGGGCCCAAGCCCTTCCCCTCCCACTTGGATGGTCACTGACAGCCCCCCTTTGGCCCTCTCTGCCCAGAAACCCAGGTATGCAATCAGACCTCAGGTGGCTCATATGGCACCACTACGCTGTGTCGGTAAGTGTGGCGGTCACTCAGATACTCTGCATGCAAATTCCCCTCCACTCGGATAAGATGTTCAGGAGGTGCTGGACCTATAAGCATCAGTGACAAGTTAAGAGGCTTGGAGACCCTGGGCAGCTAGCTTTGTCCTGCCTCCAGCTCCCAGCACTTACCATCATTATCAGAACAGCGCTCATGATGTGGGCAGCGCCTCACAACTTCTGTCATGTGCTGGGACTTCTTGTAGATGGCCATGGCGCGGACTCGTGTGCCAGGTGGAGGGGTTGAATCCACCCACAGCTGCACTGGGCAGGTCTTTGCCAGCTGACAGAAAAGCTTGTTGAGGGTCGGGGAGTACTGTGGGTGGAGGAAGGAGAGAGAATTGAAAGTCAGGAAAGCAGCCAACAAATGAAGCCAGGGAAAGAAAAGGGGAGGGGAAAGTCTAGTGTCAATGGCTCGAGTCTATCATCCTAGCTACTCAGGAGGTGGAGGTCTGAGGATCATGGTTTGAATGAAGCCAGTCCATGAGGTTCTCTCTTATCTCCAATGAACTACCAAAAGGCTGGAAGTGGAGCTGTGGCAAGTGGTAGAGCACTAGTCTTGAGCAAAAAGCTCAGAGATAGCGCCCAGACCGAGTTCAAGCCCCAGGACTGGCACAAAATAAACCAAAAAATGGGGGGACGTTTCCCAGTGAACAAAATTGCTGTCAGCACCTACAGGATGCCAGGCGGGAGAGTGTAGGTAAGGGGACTGGGGTCTACATGTCAGAAGCTTTCTTTTTCTGTCCCCGCCCCCCCCCCCCCCCCCCCCCCCCCGCACTGTCCCTAAGCTTCCTTTTGCTCAAGACTAGCACTCTAGCACTTGAACCACAAAGTCACTTCGGGCTTTTTCTGTTTATGTGGTACTGAGGAATTGAACCCAGGGCTTCATGCATGTTAGACAAGCACTCTACCACGAAGCCACATTCCCAGCCCATGTTTATTTTTTGAGACAGGGTCTCACTATGTAGCCCAGGCTGGCTTCCAACTCACTATGTAATCAAAGGTGGGCTCTAACTCAAGTCCTCTTGCCTCTTCCTCTCAAACGCTGGGATTACATGTGGGATTACCACCATAGTAGGCTATTTTTCTTTTTTTGGTCAGTTGTGGGCTTGAACTCTAGGCCTGGATGCTGTTCCTCAGCTCTTCAGCTCAAGGCTAGCAGCACTCTACACCTTGAGCCACAGCGCCACTTCTGGTTTTCTGGTGGTTTATTAAAGATAAGAGTCTCATGGACTTTGATGCCTGGGCTGGCTTTGAACTCTGATCCTCAGATCTCAGCCTCCTGAATAGCTAGGATTACAGGTGTGACCCACCAGCATCTAGCTTGCTTTTTTTTGTTTTGTTTTTCAGATGAGGTCCTACTATATTGTCCAGGCTGTCCAGAAACTCCAAGACTCAAGTAATCCTCCTGACTCAGTCTCTGGAATACAAATATGTGCCACTGTACTTGTTTTTACTTCTTTTCTTTTCTTTTTTGGATCCGGTTGTGGGGCCTGAACTCTGGGCCTGGGCAGTGTCCCTCAGCTCTTCAGTTCAAGGCTAGCGCTCTACCACTTGAGCCACAGCACCACTTCTGGCTTTTTTCTTATGTGGTGCTGAGGAATTGAACCCAGGGCCTCATGCATGCAAGGCAAGTGCTCTACCACTGAGCCAACTTCCCAGCCTGTTTTTACTTATTTCAAAAGCCAAGAAACAAATTGAGCCAGGCACTGGCAACTCAGGCCTGCAATCCTAGCTACTGAGGAGGCTGAGATCTAAGCATCATGGTTCAAAGCCAGCAGAAAAATCCATGGGACTCTTCAATTAACCAGCAAATAGCCACAAATAGAGGAGTGGGTCATGTGGTAGAGTGCTAGATCAAAGTAGAAGGAGGATGAATGCCTGTGTTCAAAGTTTGAGGGAAAATTCAGCTTTGAGACAGAGGTCAAAGTGCACAAACCAAATGGGTAAAATGTAAATAAAAGGACAAGAAGCCAAAGGTTGGCGAGGAATCCCCAAGTGCTGTACAGAAAGACCCAGGGGAATATGGCCAGGCAAGAAAAGGTCACACAAAAGCCAGCTCCTCAGGGCTACTAACCGTGCATGTGACAGATTTGGCTGTCCCTGATTGCAGGAAGCCCAAGCGGAAGCCATAGTTGCCATGGTAGGTGTTTTGGGAAGGGACAAAGGATGACAGGGGCCATGGCGTGGCTGGTGCAGGGGCTGCAGGTGCAGGGGCCACTGGGGCCGAGGCCTCGGGGACAGCATCTGTAGATGTTTGTACAGCTTCCTGCGGATTTTCTAACCACTTTTCAACATCGTCTCCTGAGAACTCATTCATGGGAGAGGAAAGCGAGGTGGACTGTGGATGGGAAGAAACAAAAGAATATTTCAAGGCTGGATTCCCAACCTACCAGGCCACCATGTCCCCTGGTCCCTTCCTGCCCAATTCTTACCAGAAAGCTGTCATCAGGAAGACTGAAAAAGAAGAGCATACAGTCAGTGTTAGTAAATTTTTTTTTTTTTGGTCTGGTAGTGGGGCTTGACCTCTGGGCCTGGGCGCTGTCCCTCAGCTCTTCAGCTCAAGGCTAGCGCTCTACCACTTTGAGCCACAGCCCCACTTCCGGTTTTTTTCTTTTTGCTCATGTGGTGCTGAGGAATCGAACCCAGGGCCTCATGCATGCAAGGCAAGCGCTCTACCACTGAGCCACCTTCCCAGCCCCAGTGTTACTAATTTTTGCTTCCCACAGGCCTTTACTAAGTGACGGGGGCCCTTGCTATGAAACTTACAGTTTCCAGAAATCTGAAAATGACTCATGACTCAGAGGGAGATCGATGTTAAGATCTGACGGCAGCTCTTCCATGACAGTACTCAAGAAGGCAGTCTGGCAGCTCTGAAGAGAAAAAAAGAGGGCTGGGTGAAACACATTGGACCCTGGATCAGTAAGCTTAGGACCCAACCTGAGGACCTGAGACAGATTCGGGGGGAGGGGGGACACACCGTGACACAGCCGTTTCTGGGGAGCAAGAAAGAAACAAAACAGTTCTTCTGCCTTCAAGAAAGTAGCCCTTACTAGACTTTCCAGCCACATACTTTGTTGAGAAAAAGATAAGCAGCGAAGAATTTCTAAACTCCCACAAGAAAATCTACAGGTCTTCCAAAATTTGTCCCCTATTTCTGCCCTCCTTCCAGTTAAAAAGGATGCAGTAATTTCCAACCCGCTCCCTCTATTACTTCCCAACTAATTCATGGCCCATTCCTTTCTTTCATTGCCAAGCGTGTGTGTGTGTGTGTGTGTGTGTGTGTGTGCGCGCGCAAGCGTGCATGCACATGCATGCGTGTATGTGCCTGTGCCTGTACTTGAACTGAGGGCCTTGAGCTCTTGCCTGGCTTTTTCCATTTAAGACTTGCACTCTACTACTGACCCATACCCTCATTTCTGGCTTTATTTTTTTTTTGGTCGGTCATGGGCCTGAACTCTGGGCCTGGGCGCTGTCCCTTAGCTCTTCAGCTCAAGGCTAGCACTCTACCACTTGAGCCACAGTGCCACTTGTGGCTTTTTCTGTTTATGTGGTACTTAGGAATCGAACCCAGAGCCTCATGCATGCAAGGCAAGCACTCTACCACTGAGCCACCTTCCCAGCCTCACTTCTGGCTTTTTGGTGGTTAACTAGAGATAAATGCCTCCCCTATTTTCCTTCCTGGGCTGGCTTCAAACTGCAATAGTCAGATCTCAGCCTCCTGAGTAGCTAGGATTACAAGCTTGAGCCATGGGCCATCTGTCCTATTTCTTTTTGTTGTTGTTGCCAGTCCTAGGGCTTGAACTCAGGGTCTGGGCACTATCCCTAAACTTCTTTTGCTCAAGACTAGCACTCTACCACTTGCGCCACAGGGCTACTTCCAGCCTTTTCTGTTTATGTGGTACTGGGGAATCGAACCCAGGGCTTCATACATGCTAGGCTAGCACTCTTTCACTAAGCCACATTCCCAGTTCCTTTTGTTGTTATTTTATTTTATTTATTTATTTTTTTTGTTGTTGTTATTTTAAAGAGTACGTTATGGCTGTGAGCTAGTATAGATTTTGTGATACTGTCTAGGGAACACTTCCTAGGGAACACTGTTCAGTGGACTGTATGTGGGGGTTTGTCCAGAGATGGTGGCCTAAGATATCAACACTACTTGGAGGGAGACAGCCTCACAGCTAGAGGTCTCCCTGTTTTATCACTCCATCACTCAAGTCTATAGTAGCAACTGTTTTTCAATGTTTCCTTAAAAAGAACAAAGCAGGGCGCTGGTGGCTCATACCTGTAATCCTACCTACTTAAGAGGCTGAGATCTGAGGATCTTAGTTTGAAGCCAGCCTGGTCAGGAAAATCCATGAGACTCTTATCTCCAACTGCTCAGCAAAACACAGGAAGTAGAGCTGTGATTCACATGGTAGAGTGCTGGCCTTGAGGAAAAAATCTCAGGGACAGTGCCCAGGCCCTGAGTTCAAGCTCCAGGACCAGTGTGTGAGCACATGCGCACACACATACATTCATACACACACGCGTGCACGTGCGGGTATACAAACACTAACAAAATCACTTTTAACAACCTTTTTTTCAAAGCAGACACTTCACATGGAAGTGAAACTCTGGTTCAAGTGGTAGAGCTTCAGCCTTAAGCAGAAAAAGCTACGGGATAGCACCTAGGCCTTGAGTTCAAGCCTAGTCTTAACAATCCTCCCTCTTCCCCCAATCCTATAAAACAAACAAAAAAACAATGCTAGGTACCAGTGGCTCATGCCTATAATCTTAGCTATTTAGTCTGAGATCTGAGGACTGAGGTTTGAAGCCAGCCTGGGCAGGAAGTCTATGAGATTCTTTATCTCAGGGATGGGAATGTGGCTTGGTGGTAGACTTGCCTAGTACGCATGAAGCCCTTGGTTTAATTCCTCAGTACTACATAAACAGAAAAAGCTATACGTAGCACTGTGGCTCAGGGCACAAGTGGTAGAGTGCTAGCCTTGAGCAAAAAGCAGCTCAGGGATAGTGCCCAGGCCCTGAGTTCAAGCCCCAGAACTGGCAAAAAGGAAAAAAAAAAAAAAAACTTTTTGTTTTTGTTGTTGGTTGTGGGGCTTTAACTCTGGGCCTGGACACTGTCCCTCAGCTCTTCAGCTCAAGGCTGGCACTCTACCACTTGAGCCACAGTGCCATTTCTGGCTTTTTCTGCTTATGTGGTGCTGAGGAATTGAACCCAGGGCCTCATGCATGCAAGGCAAGCACACTACCACTGAGCCACCTTCCCAGCCCCCAAAAAAGAGACTCTTATCTTCAATTAATCACCAAAAAAGCTGGAAGTGAAGCTATGGCTCAAGTGGTAGAACACTAGCCTTGAGCACTAAAGCTCAAAAACAAATGACAGGGCTGGGAAGATGGCTCAGTGGTAGAGCACTTGCTTTGCATGCATGAGGCCCTGGGTTCAATTCCTCAGCACCACATAAGCAAAAAGAAAAAAGCCAGAAGTGGCGCTGTGGCTCAAGTGGTAGAGTACTAGCCCTGAGCTGAAGAGCTGAGGGACAGCGCCCAGGCCCAGAGTTCAGGGCCCAGGACTGGACTCCCCCCCCCCCCCAAAAAAAAGACAGGGGAGGGAGGATGGGGGGGATGGGAAGGGGAAACAAAGGAGGCTACAATGCTTGATAAGAAATGTACTCATTATCTTGCCCATGTATTTGTTACCCCTCTGCACAGTATTTTCACCAAAAAAAAAATTAAAAAAACAAAAAACAAACGACAACAATGATAATAAAAACCCACAACAGGCACTTCCCAGAAGTGCATGCAACACCAGAAAGCAAAGATACAAACGTGCCAAGCAGAATAAACTTTTAAGAAAATGTGTGTGGGAGGCAGACACTTAGCTGGGACTCCTAGAAGAAACATAATATGGCTGCAATAGGAGGCCCTCCAAGCCCACTGCTACTGGTGGCTTATTTCTTTTCTTTTTTGGGTCTGGTCATGGGGCCTGAACTCTGGGCCTGGGCGCTGTCCCTCAGCTCTTCAGCTCAAGGCTAGTGCTCTACCACTTGAGCCACAGCGCCACTTCCGGTTTTTTTCTTTTTGCTTATGTGGTGCTGAGGGATCGAACCCAGGGCCTCAGGCATGCAAGGCAAGCGCTCTACCACTGAGTTGGTGGCTTATTTCATTTAATCCTCTAAGAAAGCTCAGGAAGGTAAGTATAATATTAGCAGCAGAAATGGAAAGTTAAAAGAATTTTAGTCATTTACCCAAGCTCTTGAAATTTCCTGGAGGTGAACTGGGCTGACCAAAGCTACTCTCAACTGAGGGCATAGCTGTAGCTGAGGCTCTGAGTTCAAATCCCAGCAGTGTGTGTAGGGCGGACACCACCACCAAGCAACAATAACATCAACAACAAAAACTATACTCACATACTAAATATATTCCCTTATGGCTTCACTGAATCCCAGATGAGGAAAATCTTTTGGGATTGGGAATGAAGCTCAGTGCTTGTGCTAGACCAGCACATGGGAGGTCCTGGATTTAACCACTATCACCACCAAATCTTTGAGATGAAGGCTATTTAATCAAAGGAAAATTTCTGATTCTAGAATGTAACAGAGCAGTGTCTGGTAAAACATAAAAACACACATCTTAACTCCTCAGCAAAACCACTTCTAGGTCAACTTCCTAGGAAAGCATTTGATGTGTGGAGCAGCAGGAGGCGTGCACAACAAGGGTTTATGTCAACGTTGCTCCTGAGGAAGAATCACATTAAAATCCATTGGTCAACACATCTTCAAACAGTGTTTAGAAGAAATATTGGGTGAAAAACTCAATTTGCAAGCTTGCTGATAGTGGCTAACCCTTGTAAACCTAGCTATTTAAGAGGGTGATATCCAGAGGATAGTGGTTTGAAATCAGCCCATGCACACAAGTTCCTGAGATTTCTATCTTCAACTAATCAACTAAAAGCCAGGCTGGCTGAGTTGTTGGTAGCTCTAGCTATTCAGGAGGCAGAAATCTGAGGATTGTGGTTTGAAGCCAGCCCGGGCAGGAAAGTCTGAACCTATGAAAGTTTCTGTGTGTTCATGTGTGTGTAAGTGTGTGTGCACATGCACACACATACACATACCAGGCTGAAGTATGAGTAAGCATATAGAGCAAGAGTGAGGCTACACCAAAAAGTTCTGGAGGCAAAATTTATATATGTTGAGGCCTGGGAAGGTGGCTCAGTGGTAGAGTGCTTGCCTTGCATGCATGAGGCTCTGGGTTCGATTCCTCAGCACCATATAAGCAAAAAGAAAAAAGCCAGAAGTGGCGCTGTGGCTCAAGTGGTAGAGCGCTAGCCTTGAGCTGAAGAGCTGAGGGACAGGGCCCAGGACCAGAGTTCAGGCCCCACGACTGGACCCCCCCCCAAAAAAAATTTATATATGTTGAAAGTACAAATCTCACACATTTTGAAGCAGCCCTGAAACTCATCCTGGGTGATTACTAAGACAAAGATATCTGGCTGATCCTTCCAGCAAAGAAGAAACAAAAAAAAATAAAGATAGATGTCTTATATTGTATTTAGGTCTACTATCCATTTCCAGCTAATTGTTATATTATATGAGGTAATAATTAAAGTTAATTTTCTGTTTGGGCAGGAAACTCTGAGTTGTATCTCCAATTAACCACCAAAAAGCCTTAAGTGGAACTGTGGCTTAAGTGATAGAGCATTAGCCTTGAGCATAAAAGTTCAGGGGCAGCACCCAGCCGTGAGTTCAAATTCTAGGACCGACACATACAATTTTCTTTTTCTTTTTTGCCAGTCCTCGGACTTGAACTCAGGGACTGGGTGCTCTCCCTAAGCCTCTTTGTGTTTGATCAAGGCTAGCTCTCTAGCTCCTTGAGCCAGTGTCACTTCTGGCTTTCTCTGAGTAAATTACTGGAGATAAGAGTCTCATGGGCTTTTCTTCCCTGGCTGACTTCAAACATTGATCTTCAGATCTCGGCCTCCTAAATAGGTAAGATTACAGGTGTAAACCACCACCGCCTGGCTACAATTTTTTTTTTTCTTTTTTGGTTGATCCTGGGGCTTGAATTATGGGCCTGGGCGCTGCCCCTCAGCTCTTCAATCAAGGCTAGGGCTCTACCCCTCGTACCACAGTGCCACTACCTACAGTTTTCTGGTGCTTTATTGGAGATAAAGAGTCTCATAGACTTTCCTGCCCGGGTTGGCTTTGAACCGTGATTCTCAGATCTCAGTCTCCTGAGCAGCTAGGATTACAGGCGTGAGCCATCGGTGTCCGGCCAATTTCTTTTTCTTAAACATAAATCTATACTGTGAACAGCAGAAGCAGACAAGGCATTTTTGTTCTTTTTGTCTTGGAAGGTCCTTTCACATCCGGAAGGCACCGAGATTTTGATATTTGAATCCAGACAAGAGGAAAACAAGTGCCAGTTACCTAGGAAAATTTAGGCGCATAACAGGACCACTTTGCTCACTGTGCACCTCTGGACCTCAACCTTCCGCAGCTCTTTAGCTCCAAACAGAACTTGATTTAGCTCGCCTTTAAGTTTTATACCGTTCAGGTGTGAGTATGTAACAACAAAATTACATGCAGCTGTATAATAAAATGCATACTCTCCCTCCCTCCCTCCCCCCGTTGATCTATCGTTCATTTCGTGGATGGAAACGATGAAACCTGCAGAGGGCTAAGAGGAGACTTGGAACTTCCCTACAGTGCTGTATGGACAAAAACAATTGTTTACAGACAACACAAATAAAAACAGGATGCATTCAGTGTGGGGTGCGACAACTGCGGAAAGAAATGAGGATGAAGCAGCAGCGGAGGCAGGTACTTGGCGGGGCTCAGCCGCCTCCCACTGGAAAGAACTGGTCTGGACTGGAGGGGTTGCAACTAGGACCTCGGGGCGCCCGCCGCTAAGGCCCGCCTCTTCCGCTGGCAGGACGTTCAGTCCGCGTCCAGAATTGGAATGGTTTAGCCCCCCAACCGGATACGAGGTTGTTTTCTAGACACCAACAAACGACACTCAGCGTTGTACTCTTGATTTTCAGTTTGAGTCGCGAAAAGAGTCCAGGTTCAAAACCACCCAAGCTTCCCGGGGGGCACGCTCCCCACCTCGCCCCGCGCAATGGTAGCGTCCGCAAAGGAGCCGGGAGAGCGAGGGGTGGAGCACACCACTCAGAGGGGGGAGGGATCGAGGTTTGTATCCAAACAAACATCCCTTCCTGGGCACAAGCAACACATCAAAAAGCCCAGAAGAGGAAGCGGAATGGAGGAGAAGAGCCCCCGGTACGCCAGCAAGAGGAACCAGCTGAAAATTGCTTTTCTGTCTTTTCGTACTCCCCTTCACTCGGGTGGACGTTGAGCTGCTCCAACAAAAAGAAACCGGAAATGCTGCTGCAAGCGGCAGAAATGCAAACGTGCAGCCGCCAAACAATAACAGGGGCTGCCGGGGCTCTCGGACCCAGGCGGGACCGCGGGGTCTCGCAGGCAAACCCCTAGTGGAGCACTTCCCACTAACAAGGGGGAGAGTCGTGAATTGGATTTTCTCCCATCTAGCGGAGCTGGGAACCGGTTGGAAAGATCACTCCGGACAGGACAAAGGTCCGGAAGTTGTGGGCCCTTTGGTAGCAAGGGTTTTTCAGATCGCCCCCAAATAATGGAGCCCGTGGTTTCACTGGGATCCCGTGGCTCTAAAATCTCGCCGCAGGAGGAATTCCACAAGTCTCAGACTCCAGGGCTTTGTGCATGTTATTACAGGGACTTCCACCACCCAACACACCCATCGTGTGTGTGTGTGTGTGTGTGTGTGTGTGAGATATCCCTCAGGCCGGTGTGTGTGTGTGTGTGTGTGTGTGTGTGTGTGTGTGATATCCCTCAGGCCGGGCGCAGGTTCCCAGAAGTCCCAATGCCTTGGCCGGGCGCTCAGCTCTTAATCTGTGCCTAACATCCCTACCATCTACACCCAAGCCTCCTAACATTTCATTCTTGTGTTTATCGGGCCAGCCAAGCTTCCATTCCCCCCTCCACACACCTCCATCGAAACTCGCTACGTCCCGACTGCTCCACCCCCCAAACCCCAAAATTCTCCCGAGCTGCAAATCCAGAGTCCGTGACTCAGACAGGACCCATCAGGCATAGTCAGGAGCTTACCTGGTCCTCAGGGGAGCGTGTCGCTTTCCTAGGAAGCATGCTCCGAACCTGGATGCCAGGGGCGCCCAGAGCCCAGAAACCACCTTGCACCCACAATGGTGCCTACGGACTTTTGAGGAGCTCAAAACTTTTAGCGCCAGTCTGAGCACATGGGAGGGGAAAGTCCCAATCCCAGCAACCCTCGCGAGGCTCCTGGCACAAAGCTGGACAGTCGCCATGACAAGTAAGGGCAAGTCATTCACCCAGGGCGGAGGCGAAAGGAATGGAGTTGGGGGAGGAGTTAGTTTTATTGTTATGGGGTGAGGAAGCACTAGGAGCCTGGGCCCTGAGGGCAGAATTGGTGGGAACCATTTTGGAAGTCTGTATAAAGGATAGGAGAAAGGAAGCTGCAGCTTTTGTTGTTGATTCACCTTGGAATATTCCTCTCTTCAGATATAGTTGGAGAGTTTCATTTTATTATTTAGATCCGAGACCCGGACTTGAACTTGGCATCTGATGCTTTCTCTCGTTAGCTAGCGCTCTGCTTCCAACCCCTAGTTTTTCATCAGTGAAGATGTCACCTTGTTTTTGTTGTCGGTCACCGGACTGAAACTTAGGCTTGGGTGCTGTCCCTGACCTTTTCTGCTCTGCTCAAGGCTAGTGCTTTACCACCTTGAGCCGCAGCTCCACTTCCGGTTTTCTAGTAGTTAATTAGAAATAGGACTTTCCTGCCCGGGCTGGCTTTAAACCTTAGATCACAGCCTCTTGAGTGAGCCACTAGCGCCCTGTGAAAATGTCACCTTTTAGGAAGGCTTTCCTAAAGCCTAGAATCTCAATCTAACTTGTTCCCTTAGGCAGCCCTCTATCTATCTCCTTTCCTTCTCCTCCTTTTTTCGTCGTGGGGCTTGAACTCTGGGCCTGGGTGCTGTCCCTAAGCTCAAAAGCTCAAGGCGAGCCCTCTACCACTTGAGCCACAGCGCCACTTCCTACCTGCATAGTCTTTATCACTGTCTGAAAAGATTTATTTGTTCATTGCTTTCAGTGCACTGCAGGAACCTTATGCGTGTAGGAACTTGTAAACTATGTTTATTCATTGTCATATTCCCCAATGCCTCCACAAGGCTTAGTAGGAAATAAGAGCTCGATAGAAAATGTTTATTCAATGAATCAAGAAAAGTCTGAGGAATGTGGCGAATAAAGATGCATGGGGGGAAGATGGGAAGGGGAAACAAAGGAGGAAGCAACAATGCTTGATAAGAAATGTGCTCATTACCTTGCCCATGTAATTGTAACCCCTCTGTACCGTATTTTCACAATTAAAAAAAAAAAAAAAAAAGATGCATTAGAGGTGTGAAATCCGTAAAAATCCAGCACCCTCTGCAGGCGAGGTAGAGTAGGTGCTTTCAGAATTACTGCAGAAGGAAGGGGGCGTGGCTCAAATGGATTCCATCCTCAGTACAGAAAGAAAGTTACCTCGGGAGACTGTAGGGGGCGCTCGGGCACTTCTCGCGAAGGCAGAGCGTTCAGACTACAACTACCAGAAATCATCATTGGAGAACTGCAACGTAACTCGTTTCTCCCTGCGCCGTCCCTCAGTGGGTTGCCCGGGCTGGAGAGGTCCAATCGGAAGACGATCCTAATTCTCGCGAGAGCAAGTGACGCGTCACACCCCAAGGCGCTAAAGAGCGTGGTGCTTTCGGGGTTCCGCTCTCCTCTCCGGGATCGTCCGCCTCCTTCCGGAAGAGGGAAGAAGGCGCAGGTGGATCTCTGGTTCTCGGTCCGGATCCCTGAGAACTTTGAAACCTTCCTGGTCGGGAAAGAGGGCTGCCGGGCCGAGGCCAATGTTTGCTGCGCTTCCTCTGCAGCATGAAGACGTCAGAGGAGCAGCTGTTGGTTCCCGACAGCCTGTCTTCAGACCCGGGTCCCGATCCAGCGCCTCTCCCTCCCCAGGCTTCCCCGAGGGGTAAAAATACAGACCCAGAACGGACGCCACCGCCACCGGATGGGGATGGGCAGCCTGGGATGTCCCCAGATCCCGTGGCTGCCTTAGCCGTGTCTCCGGAGCTGTGGGAGGAGGACGGGGTTTCTCTCCCCACTCCTCTGGTCGCAGAGTTTAGTACTCTTGATAAGTCGAGCCCTCGAACCGAGGAGCAGGAACTTTCCGAACATGCAAGCCTTCCTGCAGAAGAAACGGACCGCCCAGAGGTGGAGACTGAAGAAGCCACGGAAGATGTAGCTGAGGAACCCACTCCATTCGAGGAGGGAGACACGTAAGTGGCAAGTGGACTCGAATTTGGGAGTGGAAGTGTGACACAGATGCGCCAATCCTCAGCCCCCCTTCTCTAGGCCCTTTTCCCTTTTGCTCTGGAGACCCAGGCTTGTTCCTTCATCTTCTTCCAGCATTTGGAACTACAGCTTCTGCCACCCACCTCGGTTTCTCAGTGGTTCCTGGTCTGAGTTCAGTGCCCAACCTGAGAACTTCTTGAAAGGATGTAAATGGTAAGTAAGGATAATGGAGCAGGGATATAACCATCCTTAGGAGTTTCACTTTAAACTGCCACACTCCTCTGGCCAACATTGGTGAGGCATATCTGTAATCCCAGCACTTAGGAAGCCAGGCAGGAAGATAAGAAGTTCAAGGGTGGGGCTGGGAAGGTGGCTCAGTGGTAGAGTGCTTGCCTTGCATACATGAGGCCCTGGGTTCGATTCCTCAGCACCACATAAGCAGGAAAAAAAAAAAAAAAGAAGTTCAAGGGCCAACTTTGGTCACATTATGAGATCCTGACTCAAAAAAGGAAAACAACCTCCATCCCCCTTATCTGGAGAGGTATTCATCAGAAGTGGACAAAGGAATAATCTCCGTAAAGACTGTGGTTAAGGGATTTTTTTACACCAGTATTGGGAACTTGGGTCTTGACTGTGCTAGGTAAGGGCATACCACTGACCTGCAGCCTCAGCCTTTGTGTGTGTTTATGCCTGTATGTGTGCGTGCACATGCCTGCATGTGTTCGTGCACAAAAGGCTTGAACTCCATGCCTCTTGTTCTCGTTTAGCTTTTTCCACTCAAGGCTGGCACTCTTGCAGTTGAGCCACACTTCCACTCCAGGCTTTTTCTGGTTTAATTGAAGAGTCTCCAGATTTGTCTGCCCAGGCTGGCTTCTAACTGGGGATCTTCAGAATTTAACTTCCTTAGTAGCTAGGATTAAAGGCATGAGACACCAGTGTCCAGCTTTTTATTTTTTTGGTCCCAGTCCTGGGGTTTGAATTCAGGGCCTAGGCACTGTTCCTGAGTTTCTTTTGCTCAAGGCTAATGTTCTAGCTCTTGAGCCATAGCTCCACTTGTGGCTTTTTGATTGTTTATTGGAGATAAGAGTCTCAAAAAACTTTCCCACCTGAGCTGGCTTTGAACTGTGATCCTCAGATATCAGTCTCTTGAGTAACTAAAATAACAGGTGGAAGTCACCAGCATCCAACTTTATTATTATTATTTTGCCAGTCCTGGGGTTTGAACTCAGAGCCTGGGCTCTGTCCTTGAGCCTCTCTGTGCACAAGGCCAGTGCTCTACCACTTGAGCCACAGTGCCACTTCTAGCTTTTTCTGTTTCTGTGGTACTGAGGAATCAAACCCAAGGCTTCATGCATGCTAGGCAGGCACTCTACCACTAAGCCACATTCCCAGCTCCTTTACTTTTTAATCTTTCAATCTTTCTTTCTTTCCTCCCTCCCTCCCTCCCTCCCTCCCTCCCTCTCTCCCTCCCTTTCTTTCTTTTCTTCTTTCTTTCTTTCGTTTTTTCTTTCTTTCTTTTCTTCTTTCTTTCTTTCGTTTTTTCTTTCTTTCTTTCTGTTGTTGGTCATGGGGCTTGAACTCTGGGCCTGGGCACTGTCTGTCCTTCAGCTTTTCAGTTCAAGGCTAGTGCTCTACCACGTGAGCCACAGTGCCACTTCTGGTTTTTTGGGTGGTTTATTGGAGATAAGAGTCTCATGGGCTTTCCTGTTTGGGCTGACTTTGAACTGTGATCCTCAGATCTCAGCCTCCTGAGTAGCTAGGATTACAGGTGTAAGCCACTGGTGCCCGCTTCCTAAGACAAGGTCTGGCTAAATTGCTCAGGCCTTGATCTTGTGATTTTCCTGTCCAGCTTCCCAAGTTGAAGAGGTTATAGGCATGCGCCACTGTGCTGGGCACGAGCTTGTTTTATTAAGACTTTGTATCTTCCCTCAAGAATTTAGGATCATGTCTACCACAGAGATAGTCCTTGCCTACAGTTGGAAGACATAGGTCTGTATATTTTCAAATTCTTCGCTGTTTTTCTAGGGCCCCCGATGGTTCCTGCATCTTGACCAATAGTGCTGATAACATCCTGCGGATTTACAACCTACCACCGGAGCTGTACCATGAGGGGAAACAGGTGGAATATGCAGAAATGGTAAGAGTAGGAGCTAACCCTGTCCCTTTGTCACATATTGTACATTTAAGTGCTTTGAGTACATGGAAAGAATATAGTCCATAGGTTTTCTCTTCACCAACAGTACTTTTCTTCGCTGTGAATTTCTACATGTAACGTTTCCTGCCCTGGATTCTGAACTTAAAAAAAAAGTCTATTCCTTCTATTTAGTCAGAAACGTGCTCTCTGTAGGAAACAAACTGTTGTTTCCTATGGCAGTGTTTATAGGTATTCATTGAGTGACTGCCAACATGACGGTTACTATGGTTGGTGCTGGAATGATAAGAAATGAACAAAGTGGGCACCTGTGACTTATACCTGTAATCCTAGCTACTCAGGAAGCAGAGATCTGAGGATTTCAGTTCAGATCAGCCTGGGCAGAAAGGTTGCTAGACTCCATCTTCAAAATAACCATCAAAGGCCAGGTGCTGGTGGCTTAGGCCTGTAATCCTGACTACTTAGGAGGCTGAGATCTGAGGATTGCCAGATTGGAAACCAGACTTGACAGGAAGGTCCATGAGTCTCTTTTTTTTTCTTAAATCCTTATTAAACAGAAGGGTTACCATTATATAAGTCAGACAAAGAATACATTTCCTTTTGGACAAAGAGTACATTTCCTCTTCCCTTCCCTCTCCCAGTTTTTCCCTCTCATCCTACCCACAAGCTGTATAGTTGGAGAATCTTATTTCTAATAAAACAACCCCAAACCAGA